CATGCAGTGTGAATCAGAATAACACCAGAGGTGATCAACCACAAGAAGGGTGCAGACTCCTCTTACCACAGGCTTATTTTGAGGAATATATAGAGGATATACTTATCATTGCCTTATTTTGTCATACCTATAAAAAGAACTTAAAGGTTGGCTTTTTTATTTTTAGTTTTTTTCTACACATAGCCACTTCAACAGGGCTACACTCTATTTTAAATGTGAGAAACAGATATTCAAAAAGACTGTTCAAGACCCCAAAGAAGGCTGATATCAAAGTCAGCAGTACATCTAGGACAGCTGCAACGATGGGCATTTAGGCATTTCTCCTTATTATACCGTTGAGAGCTGGGCACCAAGACAGAGGACAGAGAGCAGTCATTGGGAGGAGCGAGACCTGAGAAAGAAGGCAGCAATAACCAGGCAAAATATCACAGCAGCTTGCTGTACACTACTAGCTGACAGTAAGGACAGAGTACTAAATCCTGACTGGAATAAGAAGCCAACTGGCCTTGGTGGCTTCTCCATCTGTATGTCCCCTGTGACCTCCTCCCCAGAGCTCTCCTCTCCTCTTTGACATCTGTAGCATCAGGAAGAAATAAACACATCTGAAAGCCGGCTGTGCACTGGCCCAGCCTGGACACTGTGAGCATTGTGCAGGGCCACACCCTGGTTAGAATCACTACCATGACTGTTTTCTACTGTCCTTGGGAGAGCAAGGACAGGGACTCAGGACCAAAAGAAAAGGAAAAGAGTTAAGGAAGAGAGGGAGGAAAGGAAGGAGGGAGGAAGAGAAGAGGAAGAGAAAAAGGGAGAGAGGGAAGAAAGGAGAGAGGAAGAGAGGGTTAGAGGGAGGAAGGTGAAAAGGAGGAGGGAGGGAATAATTACACACATACCTCTTCTCCTTTGAAGACAGGCTGCAGGAGCATTCCCTAGAGAACTGTTCGTATATTAACCCAGTGTTTCACTTTTCCGCATTTATCCGAAAGGAAACAATCAGAGAATTCCTCTAAGACAGCCCATGTGAAAGTGTTTCCCACACCTAGGGTCAAATGAATCTTTTCTACTAGTGTAGTGCACACAAGGAGGAGGGGTGGGCCTAGAGTTGGGTGTGAACTCTGCTGCTGCCCGTGAGGATTCTGCAGCAAGTCTAAAACTCCTCTTCCTCACCTAAATAGAACTGCTAGGAATACATACCTCATAAGAATTCAATTACTTAATACTATTATCTTACATTAATTTATTATATTGCATTCAAATAATTTTCATACCAATATCCACAAATAACTTGGACTTGAGTAATAGGAATAAACGTTATCTATTAGAAGGACTACAATTAATCATATATGCTTAGCTTCTGGCTCTGAGTCAGGCACACAATACTCAATAAGCTCTGGTTATTAAATGGACCAATGGACAAAGACCCTTGTCACAGCATTATAAAGCCCAATCGTGCAAGCCATCTGAAGTCCAACCATGAGAGATTGGCTTAATGTATTATGGTTCAAATGCTTAGAACCAACTGTGCTTGAAAAGAATATTGAATGGTCTAGGAAACGTCTTTGTGAAGTCAGCAGGTGATAGCAAACACTAAATGCAGTGTAGCCTAAATCCACAGCCAGTTTGCAAGTACATATGGAGAAAATATAACAAACGGCAGTCATAATCTCCTGGAGTTAAACTTTTTCACATTCTCCTGAATTTTTTAGATTTCCTGCATTGCACGTGAACATAATCCCAGTTCAAATGCTCCCCCTGGTCCTATGAAATAAGAACTCAGGCATTTAAAAAGTGATCACAAATTAATCCTAACTTAAGATCTCATCGCTTCGATGAAACATTTAGAATGAGGCATTTAACGCCACTAAACCTGCCCCACCAACACTGTCTGGAAGGCACTGTGCGTTTGTGATGGGGTTCTAAATGTCACCCAAAATTTGATGTGGAGTGCACCTTTGCCATGAGAGCAACAGTCCAGCTACTGACAGTGCTGAACCCCAGGGATTGCAGTCACCAGTGGCAAATACAGTCTCCTTTCAGACTGATCTATCAACCAGGCAACATGGTGTGTTTTATCCTTGCACTCAAGAGGTGGAGGCAAGAGGTAGAAGCAAGGAAATCTAGACTCCAAGGTCATCCTTAATGACATGGTGAGTTTGAGGCCAACCTGGGTTATGTGAGACTCTGTCTTAAAACAAAATACATAAAATTTACCTGTTATCTCTTCCAGTTTGGTTGTTATTGTTGATTTCATGTGAATGGGTGTTTTACCTGCATGTATCACATGTGCCTGGTACCCTCAGAGGCTGGGAGAGGATGTCAATCTCCTGGAACTGGAGTTACAGACAGTTTTGGGTTGACATGTGTATCCTGGGAACTGAACCTGAGTCCTCTGGAAGAGCAGCCAGAGTTCTTTGCCATCACAAAGACCTTGCCAGTCTCTATCCACTTTGTTTAGTCCAGAAGCAAATTACAGGACTCATGGTGTAAAGCCTGGAAAGCATCCTTGACCCTAGTGAGAAATCTCCATTACTGCAAGCCTCCTGCCTCATCATAGAGCCCCCCACCCCAGATGCTGGACTTTCCTCTGCAGCCCTTACTACCACACTGTAAACTGATCTTCACTGAAGTCAGGGATGGAGCAGTCCAAAGAATCAACTAGCCCAACTCTTCACTATCACTTGAATTACCAACACCTGAATTACCACTTTGAAAAAAGTGAGGCAGATATAAATTGACATTTATATCAAAACTCCACAGAAGCATCCAGCTTTTGTAATCCTTTGATGAACTGGAAGGCACCTCGGTCTCTTGGGGTATCAGGTTCATCCGCAAAAAGACATCTATCCTAGTAGAGTGGATGAATGGGGAGGCTGGTTTGCAGTTGAGGAGATAAGAGCAAGCCAGGATTCCTGTTGAGGAGGCTGAATCAATGCCTACTGAGCACCTCCAGACAGAGGCCCTTATTTGTATCGGATGTCACAATTACTAGTCCACGAGAATATAACAATGAGGTTCTAGTTTACAGCAAAGAAAATGAGATTCCAATTATCCAACAATCTTCCTTCCTCCCAGTGAAACTCATCCCCACGTAGACTTAGAGCAGGGCCAATTACAACCCTGTCTCATGCACTGGGTGTTTCTGAAAGAATTTCATACCACACGGCAGCTGCTGGCAGTGACCAAAACAATTTGTGAGAAAACAATTTCATCTTCCGGACTCAGGTAATGTTATTGATTTAAACTAAATGCATACTGCCTATTTGTTCTTTGCATAATGTGCCGGCATGTGACCTTTTTCTGGGTCCCCATCCAGTCTTTGCAAGAGGCTGGGTGACAGACAGATATGAGTATGGGCAAGACATTTGTCCATCAGGAACTGCTACATACCAATTTTTATCATAGAAAACATATTTTTAAGATCATGTAGATGAACCCAAAAACTCATGCACACACACGTGTATATATGTGTGTGCTTACACAAGTGAAGATGGACACTAAAAAGAAATCCCACACTAGCTCAGAATTGAGTATAATAAAGGGTCATTTATTTAGGGGTAGACTCACAGATCACAGTCCTCTACACAAACAGGGAACAGGAACCGAATCCAGCAACCAGAAGAGAGAGAGAACACACGCTTTACATCAATACTATATTATAAGAGGCCACGCCCAAATGACCAGGTAACTTAAAGGCTACTGGCTGTAGAATTTCATACAGCACCTTCCCTTTTTATTTAAATAAGAGAGTTCTAAGCCTAATGCAAAATTATATACAATAATAATAAATATCAGGTATAAAAATTAGAATTACAACCAGCATAAACAATGTCAAGCAAGAAATGTGAAAAATGTTTCAATAATTATCCTAACCTAAGGAGTTTAAGTCTTGGATTATAAATAACTTGGCCAAGTCATGAGAGGAAAGTAACTATGACTATCTAGTCTTCAACCCCATCAAAAACACAAGAAGGGAAATAATATTACTTGAGTAAGCACATAGTACAATCAAGCAACTTCCAAAATGTGCAACAAATGACAGAGACAACTAGTTACCTGGGCAATCACCCAAAGTCTCATTAGCAACGTTGAGCAACCAACTTTGGCTAAGGCCTAAGTAAGTGACAGACCATTTTCAGAGGCAGGAAATTTTTCAAAACCATCTTACCCTGTCTTGGCAAGGTTTGAAAGTCTTTTTATTGTATCCTGCTTGTCCTGTCTAGACATCATGCATTTTGTCAGTGGTTGAGGCATAGGCAGTTCTTTGCCCAAAGGCCAGTTTTGTCAAGAAGAAACAAGCTCTAAGTGAAGTGTCTTTGGTGCTCAACATTCTCTTGGGAATAGATCGGTGCTTCTAGGAGCAACTGTGTCTCAGTCAACAGAACCGTAAGTTATTTAAATGCCATATTCTACAGCTCTTTGAAGTGATTGAAGATTATCTATCTATGCAGAATACAATCTCTATGTATCTAAAGAACATAATTAGTCTAACTATAAGTATGACAAACATAGATGACTATTGACCTAAATTCTTAATACCTCTATAACTTAAAGACTAAGAATTCATATTAGAATATTAAACAATATTTAAACAAGTGTTCAACAAATGAGGACAATGACCTCAAAATGTAAAACATGTATAGGTATCTTGATCAGGGGTAGAAATGTATATTGCAATATGATAAATATATCCTAAAATTGTATTAATATACAAAATATCTTAAGCAGAGGGAGAAGCATGCATGCATACAATATGACAAAATAACTTTGCCTAGGTATACAAATATTGTAGACAAAAATAGGAACATATTCAATATAATTTAAGTTTATATCAATATACAAGAATCTATACCAATGTAAATTGCCCATAAATAATAGCTCACAATATTCACTTACTCACTACTGTTATTAGTGTAAACTCACACTAATCCATTATCCCACCCAATTTCCCTTATTTTTTTCAAAGAGATCCCTGAGCCTACATAATTTCACCCCCCAACTCAGAACCCTATATCAATTATCATCAACCCCTAAATCATGTCCCTAACCCTGAGGACAAACTTTGTTGGGAGAGAGGATGTCATCTTCTAGAATTACTTCCAGCTGTCATGGGGGCGATGTTCTTTCTCTGGGATCCTGTGAAAGTAAAATGATGGTTAAGTTCCAAGATTACTGTCCGACATAATTGCAAATAGTCTCTGAGTATTCAGTAGTGTTTTTCTGAGGTTCCTATTTGGACTTCTGGCCAGAACGTTGTAAAAAAAAAGTGCACCATTTCAGTTAACCAAGTTAAAACTATCTTGAGCAGCTGGTACCCAAAACAGATCTTATAGTAGTGCTATCAGCATCATGACATCATATCAACCAGGTGGAGTCGTTGTTGTGGGACCCCATCTTCTTCCTGGAAACTTCAAAGATTACTGCAGGAAAATTTATTGTTCATTGTGGAAAACTTAAACATTATTTATACAGATACATATTCAATGAAAGGTATGATAGAGACAAATATAAGTATGAAGAAAAGTAAATTTTTTTTTCTAAATTCTTTCTTCATTCTATCCTATACTGGCTCCTGGTGTGAGACAGAAACTCTGAATTTTTCTTTTAGCAACATGCCTGGATTTAGAAGACAAAGCCACTGTCCAAAGCCAGCTTTGATTTTTAAGTGAGTCATGACTATTATTCTAGTTAATATTCTGAGATTCTTACCCTCAGATGACCTGTCCTCATAAGTGATAATTCTCTTTGCATGGTGATCCTATCTGGATAATTATCTTTTTCTCTGTAGGCATATAGATGTCCAGGGTCTCTTGACTTTCTGAAACTGAGTATTTTCCTGCAAAGACGAGAACAGAACCCTGCCCCAACCTTTATGAGGTTTCCTTATCACATGTATGATTGTCACCTCTGTGGATGAACCGTCATTTCTCTTTCTCAAGAGATTTCTCTTTTTCAAACAAAATCTTTATTAATTTTGATAGTATCCATAACTTTTCTTCTCCTTTTGTAACAAGAACAAAACCCCTTCCCCAACGTAGCACATCTCCTGGCTTCCATTGTGAGGTCAACATATTCTTGAAACACACCAGCTGATTTAATTCAGAAGACTTTCCTACTTTCCAGTGTCTCTCTGCTGCTTTTGTTCCTTTCTCATTAGCGTTAAGAAAATTCAAGGTTAATAAAGCATTATGTAACCTATTTCTGCAGGTATTTTCCATCCCTTTCTGTTTGTTTTAACATATCCTTTATAGTACGGATTGATCTTTCTATAACTGTCTGACCTGTAGGATTGTTTGGTATCCCTATAATATGCTTTATATTATAATAAGTAAAAAAACTGTTTCCTTTTCTTAGAGACATTTGATGGATCATTATCTGTCTTTATTTGTGCAGGTATACCCATGATGGCCATAACTTAATAACTGTGTGATTACTGAATCAACCTATTCTGAGCTCAAAGCAGTTGCCCACTGAAAACCTGAATAAGTGTCAATGGTATGGTGTACATATTTTAATTTTCCAAAATCTGCAAAGTGGAACACATCCATCTGTCAGATTTCATTCCTTTGAGTACCCTTTGGATTACTCCCTGCAGGCAATGGTGTTTGATTTTCGATGGTATTTATCCTGTCAGGTAGCTGCTCATTATTAGTCTATAAAGACTGTATCATTTCTAAAAGTGCCTCATTCTTGGCTCTGTTATCAAACTATTTTCTTAAGGATATAATATGAAGAAAAAAACTGAGTCCCAATATCCAAAACATGGATGTATCACAATAACCACATAAGCCTTGCAGAATACAACCCATAGTATCAGCAAAAAGGTTACTAAAATTTTCCATAAAAATATTATCTGCCATTCTATAACTTTCAAGTTTATTGATTTACTAATTAATAAAATATTTACCTGCTATGAAGTCCGGTAAATTGCTTTAGTTGTAACAATCTTTATTTCCAGCAGGGGTTGTGGTTGCAGAGTTGCGACCAGTGGCAGCACAACCATTGGCGCCATAGACAGTCCTGAGCCACTTTGGTTTTCCGCCTTGGTGCTGGTTAAATACAGACAAATATGCTTTGCTTGATAAATTAAAAGCAATTAAATCAACTCTGTATATGAAGCAAGGAGCCCAGAACTCAGGATCAGGGAGCACAAACTGGAAGCTGTGCAAGTTGCCCTGTGGCAGGGAAGGTGGTAGTGGTGGAGGGAGTGTGCTCGAGCTTGGGAAATTTCCAAGTCGCCACGGGCACTTAGCTCCACTGTGGTGGGGCTTTTACAAAAGAAAAAAAACCAGTAGATGAAAGCAAGCCAAGCAGGCAGGGGTGGGAGACCTTCTGGGCCTATTAGAACAGTCCACCCGGTAGGTGTGGATTTCAGATCCACATGGGGCACCAGATGAAGATGGACACTAAAAAGAAACCCCACACTAGCTCAGAATTGAGTATAATAAAGGGTTATTTATTTAAGAGTAGACTCACAGATCACAGTCCTCTGCATGAACAGAGAACAGGAACTGAATCCAGCAGCTGGAAGAGAGAGAGAATGCACGCTTTACATTGGCATTTATAGTATAAGAGGCCATGCCCAAGTGGGCGGGTAACTTAAAGGCTACTGGCTGTAGGATTTCCTACAGCACACAAGGACATACATACATACAGCCACGCCCATCCCACCCTCTTAAAAGTCGACTCAGATTTACTTTTCCACATAGGTTCTGAGATGTTCTGTATCGGATAAGCAGTAAGATTGGAGAGCCTTGGACAAAGCCACCGACATGGCTCCACCCATCACCCAGACATTACAATCAAACATAACTAAGTTAGACCGAGCCTGAAAGCCAAGAGTGCTGTGGAGAGGACAAGGCAACTCTGACCCCACGGCACACCTCCATGAGTTCTGCAGCATCTGCAGACCTTAAGGAATGTCTTTAGAAAATACAAATTTTCTCCTTTCTTCATTCTTTTTCCTGCCATTCTTCTCCAACATTGGTGCTAGCTGGGGACTAATTGTTTAACACATGAGTCTGTGTCATTGCGCTTCATCAGCCCTATGATTTTATAAATCAGGAAAATGTACGTGGAGATATGTACCACCACCTGGGTCATTTAGCTTGTAGGTACAGGGGCACCCAAACCACCTCCTTACCCAACACCCCATCAACACTGGACTAGGAAAGCACCAGAGAATTAGGCTCTCTCAGACTTGGTTGTTGGAAGAAGTGAATTAGAAGTAAACAGAAAGAAGACACAATCATTAATTATATGTTACCTGATACAACAGGAAATATTTGGCTGACAGAATGAATATAGCAAGAATATTAAATTTTTATCCCTGCACCCAGGACAGTATCTCTGTTAGTGACCATCTCAGCTCAGAATAATCCCCAGAGAAGTCCAAATCTCTTTCCAATCAACTGTCATGTAAATTAAAGCGCTTTATAAACTCTCTTGCCAAATTTTCTAACTTAAGTGAGATTTCGTGAACTCCATTGGACTGACTCAACTTATTTTATCTTTAAGAGTTCACACTTCGTCTATGTTGATTCCTTTTTTAAAAAAAAAAAAATATGTAGCACCGCATTTTAAGGCAAAGATCTAACATTGATATATCTTTGGTTCTTGAGTGAGCTGTAGTTACTAGGAGCAACCCATTGGTAAGGAGTTTGTTCTCAAAGGAGAAAATGAAGTTCAAGTCATATCTTAGAGAAACTACACCAGGTTCAGCTATCCATGGTCTAATCTGCACCCACTTTTAATGTCCACATACCAACTACCATGTATATGGCATGTATACTAGCCTCACTATGCCATAGATGCCAGTGTGCTCAGGTCTATGTGAGACGCACACCCTCACACAATCACTCTTACAATGCAGGAGCTTGTTGACATTTATTTGAAGGATGCAGTCTGTAGGAAAGTGGAAAATAGTCATTTAAATATGCCAGTGGCATCAGGAAATAAAACAAAAGTAAATATAATCACAGAAAGGGTAACCCTAGTAACCTACTCCACAGATAAGGAAAACATAAATGTTCTACACTAAATGCTTCAGAAGGGGGAAGGAAAAAGAAAGGGGGAAATAGGCTTTTTGTGTTTGATTCTGAAAACATATATTATGCTCACACTGAGCATTGGCAGACAGATGGCTGCAGCTCTTACAAGGAATATTAAATCTTTGTGAAACCCTCTTGCCCTCCTGATACAACACTGCAGATGCCTAGAGGGCAAGACAGTGAGCTCGCAAATGCCCACAAATCACTCAGACTCTGCCACTAACTGGGAAACCCTCACAGCATCCGTGAACACAGGGGGGTTGAATAGTTGGCTCCATCCATCACAGCAGGTCAGAGGGAGTCTCCTCTCTCTCCTCTCTCCTCTCTCTCTCTCTCTCTCTCTCTCTCTCTGTCGTGTGTGTGTGTGTGTGTGTGTGTGTGTGTGTGTGTGTGTGTGTTCATCCTGATCTGCCATTCTAGGCAGTTATAAAATGAAACGGCACATGACAAAGCCCCAGCATCCCTCCTATTCGTGCGTTTCAGGGAGCACTTGCAATCTTTTGGGGGACAGAAGCTCATCAGTAGATATTTTAAAGGCCAGGAAAAATGAAGACTCAACACTTTTCACCTGACCCCGCTGTCCTTCACTTGAATTCTCCAAAGTGCTCTCATTCAACAGCACAGTGAAGGTGACACATTCCACTAATTCCACCTGGAAATTACAAATCTGGGGTAAAGGAAGTCACCTCAAAGAAAAGAAAATGGCACAACCCGCTCCACGGTTTGGGCACCTAAATTTTAGTGACTTATGAATATTTGAAATGCCAGGTATTTTTGAGTCAAACTACTTACGGGACAGTTCACAAACCAAGATCATTGGTGCTACCAGGAGCTGCTTAAAATGCAGACAATCCCAGGCCTCCTGCATTGGGATATGCATTTCAGACAAGCTCCCCTGATGAGTTTGCTCTCTCCTAAAACACTCTAAAGCAGTAACTCCAAGGTGTGGCTTGCGTCATCTACTGGAGTACAGAAAGAAAATTCTCCACTTTCATTCAGTTATTTTTTTATATTTGTTGTATTTTTTAATAATGGGCTCAAAGAAGAAAGGAATTGAGCTGCTCTACAATTTGGCATTTACTTTGATAATAGTCCATGTAGAACCTGTGCAGAGAGTGTGATCTCAACACCCTTGAAATTGGTGGGACTGTTCACTTAAAAATGAGAGGCCCCCACCCCTGGATAAGCACTGGTGTAGGCAGGCCATCTCCAATAACACACTCCTCCAACAACCCTCGCCTCCTGATCTTTCCTGAGCAGTGTCACTCCCTGATGACTGTACACTCAAATTTATGAGTCTATGGGGGTCATTATTATTCAAACCACATTAGGTAAAAATAACCTGCTGTGCAGCTGAGTTTGATCCTAAAGCCCAGCTGAAGTGGCTCCTATCTGAAATCTCAGCACCTCTGCTTCATGACGGGAGGCAGAGCTGTCTAGACTTGTGTACAGCAAAGACAGTCTCCTGCGAGAGAGTGTGGACTTCACTTATTCAAAGGGTTCACACTGTCTGTTCTGGCTGCAGAAATATGAACGCATGCTGGGATATCTGGAGAAAGCCTAATGCCACACACTGGTTTTGAAAGGGCCCTTTGAATGATAAAAAGGATTTATCTAAGCAGAGAAAGGGGGGACGTGAGGGAAACACTTGGGCAGAGGCAGAAAGTGACCACCATGTGTGGTGTGGAGTGTCCTTACAACACTGTCTGATGGAAGAAACAGAAAGAACCATCTGAAATTTCCTGTTTCATGGAAAAGTCTGCCAAATACTATGGACCTGTAGGCTGAAGATGGAAGCCCCAGCATTATAGAAGAACTTTGGGTGACCAGGCAGCAAGAAGTCTCTGTCAATTCTAGAGTTTTGGAAGTGCATTTTCTATTTACTTAGATAATATTATATCCTTCTGGAATCTTCAATGGAGTTGAAGAATTGATAGTTACAGTTTTCCCTAGTCATAATAAAAGATAAAGTAGATATAAATATTATAATCATAATTCTTGCTTGATAACTGTTTTATTATATGCAATTTTACTATGTTAAAGTTAAGACCTTTTTTTTATTTAGACAGAAAAGGGAAGATGATGTAGGAAGTCCTTCTGTATATATATATATATATATATATATATATATATATATATATATATTGCTTTTATTGGTTAATGAATAAAGAATCTGACTTGGCCTGTGACAGGGCAGAGTAGAGCTAGGCAGGAAACCTAAACTGAATTCTTGGAGAAAGAAGGTAGTGACAGTGAGAAGCCATGGAGCCACAGCAGGAGACAGACACAGGAGACAGAAGCCAGACAGAACCTTACCTACCGGTAGGCCACAACCACATAGCAATATACAGATTAATAGAAATAGGTTAATTTAAGACATAGAACTAGCTAGCAATACGCTTAAGCTATTGGCCAAACAGTATTGCAAATAATACAGTTTCTGAGTGATTATTTCAAATCAGGACAGCCGGGAAACAAACGAGCAGCCTCCAACATCGTTGTACAGGCATTCCAGTTTGCACAAGAACGTCCTACTTTTAACTCTGACCTGACATCTCAGATATCTTGGGTGACTGTTATTCTATTGTAGCAACCACTTCAGATGACCTCAGAAGTAGGTTAACACATATATGGGTAGCATCTACAAAAATGACATTGAAAGATTTGACAGCTATTTCCCATCTAGAACCTAAAATAATAGCCTTTTGTCACCATGGAGATAGAAGTAATGGTGTGTCTCTGTGATAGCTGCATGAAACCAGTCGTTAGGAAGCCCAGAATGCAGTGAATGTCATTGCCTATGATGACATCTGCATTGGCTTCCGTCTGGAGCTGTGACAAACTTGACACAAGCTAACCAGCTTAAAATACCACAAACTTCTTATCATGTATGTAACCCTCGAGGTCAGAAATCAAAAAACAGCTCAGCAAGATTGCGCATCGTTAGTGAACTATATGTGAAGATCTACCCTGTCACAGAAGACAGGTTGTTGCTACCAGCTCCAAGCAACTGGCATTCCTTGGCTTGCAACCCCACATCCCTCTGACTTCTGCTTCCATCGTTGTATCTTCAGACTCTAGCCTTCTTATTACTTGCCCTCTGAAGTTCCTGATGCTTACATTTTTATGTTACAATCTGAATAATCCAAGATAAATGCTATCTTAAAATCGAAAGAGCAAGAAAGTCAACAAAGTGCCTTTTGTCATGAAATTCATTATAGTTATTTATTTTTCCAATATGGACATCTTGTGAAGGGATATAAATCTATCACAATTCTTCATTATAAAATTCAACCTAAGAATGAATTCATTTTAAAAGATACACATATATACATCTATACATCCTGGGTTTGACAGGGAGGTACAGTAGTAAAGACCACATTCTATGTCCTCATGGAGCTGGCTGGCATTCTGGTAAAAGGGACAGTTAACAGATCCTGGGAGTGCCATGAAGAGAAAAAGGCTGAGAGCTAAGCTAAGGCAGAGGGAGGCCTGGGGAGCAGGATGCTAGCCAATATAGGTCCGCCCTGGATGGGGAGGCAGGAAGAACCCAGCCCCCATAGCCTTCATCAGAAGCTACAATATTGCTTCCGGTTGGAACTTGTTTTCCCTTTGGTGCTGAGTTGCGCTGAGTCAGTCCCAAAGGGGACATAACACTCTTTGCTTCTCTTCTTACTCCCTTCAAAATTAACTCGGTAATTTTAAACCTTCAGCTGAACTTTTGTTGCTTTTAGTTTATACTTTCATATTACACTCCAGCATTTCCACTCCCTAGCTCCTAAAGCATCCTCCAAACACCCTCCTGGGGTTTGCTCCTAAAGCATCCTCCACATACCTCCTGGGGCTTTCATCAGCAAACCAAAGCTATGGTAAACAGGTGACCCCTGTCCCCGCTGTGGGCCAAGGACCAAGACAAAGTCTACTGATTAAATTCCCATCAAAGGCTCATTCCTTCTCAAGAGAAAAAGAAAAGCCATCTGGAAAGTTCCCAGCTTCGTTATGACAGCTACAAATTGCCAATTATTAATGGCTCCCGATTCAACAGCCAGACTGAAACCAGGACTCGATTTGTTAGAGAAATGCCAGAGACAAGCAATTTAGCATAGAAAAGGGCAAACACACCCGCCCAGAGGCCCTCCTCCAAGCAGTTCAAAGGTTCCAAATCCTGCCGCTGGAGAGGTAAACGTGAAGGCAACTCATTAAGGGGAGAAGGCCGATGCTTCAAGCTGTGGCTCACGACTAAATCCTACAATGCAACACCTTCTCATTGACCTTGATTTATGCATTCAAACAACGTGCCCTGGCATTCCAGTTGCAATCAGGGTAGGCACGATTAATGGGAACATTCCTCAGAGTTGTGTAGGAAATAGAAATACAATCTGGGGGAGGAGGGTCTCTTGTGTTTTTCATGAAAGCATTTTAAAAATTGGAACAACCTTCCTGTGATTCTGAAGGTTGTTTAACAAGACACAAGAATGACAAAAATATTCCAGAAACTTAACTGTCGTGGATATTTAGCCTAGGCTTCTAGCTTCCTAAATTTATTTAATGATTCCATTCCAGTCATTACAATCATCTTAACATTACACTGTTCACATACAAAAGTAGCTTGGTCCAAGCCCTATGGAAAACACCAGGAATCCGGACATTTATACTTGTATTTAACATGACTCTGAAACGAAAAGCAAGAAGCCAAGAGATTTCCCCAACCACCCAGACAAAGCTAAGCTGAATACTTTACAAGCCACAAATCACAGGTTTGTTGGACAACCTTACAGGTTAAACAATGCACGCAATTTTAGTGTGGGCCGGCGTGATGTCCACTGGAATGAAATGTGAACCCATACATACCTACAGGGAGATGTTCAAGCTGATCCGTGAAGATTTAACCGTAAGTCACTCATTAGAGTTAATGGAGCATGACTCCGAAATTTCAGATCACGCCTCAGACATCTGACTGCCCGTGGAAAGGCAGATCAAGGCAGCCGCAGCAGCTGTGACCTGGGGAAACTGGAGGGAGATACAATGTTTTCACCTGTTCAAATTAGTGAGGGACCAAAGATGTAAGTCATCTCTATTCATTCTCAACTGTCAACGCAGGGCGGTTTGCACAGAGACTCCTGTGCTAGAACAGTCTTTAATGCCTTTGCTATAAATGATGTGAGAGGAGACAGATGTGTTTAACCTGATTTGACAGTTACATAGTGCATTCATGTAGTGGAGCATCACGGAGCATGCTATCAGTGTATAGGATGTTTATGGTTTTGTATATTAGCTTAAAATAATTTAAAAAAAAAACCTACCTTGGTCTACTCAACATTGATCTAGTCTAAGAGAGAAACAGAACAAGGCAGTGATGGCCCAGGTGGCCTTGAACTCACAGAGATCTGTCAGCCTCTGTCTGTCTCCCAAGTGCTGGGATTAAAGGTGTGTACCACCACTGCCTAGCCTCTATGGCTAACAAGTGTGGCTGATCTCCAGGCAAAGTTTATTTGTTAGAGCACAAACAAAGCATCATCACATGTTCCTGCCTGAAATTTGCAGATGTGGAAATGATAGAAAGACAGACCAACCTCAGGCCAGAGCCCAGCGGGGAGCTGACACTGTGGAGTGACTTCTTTCTTATTATGCATCTTCTTGTAGTTTAGATTTAGTTGACTTGGTGTTAAAAATACAGCGTTTCTTCTCAAAATGACTTGGGGGAAAATAAACATAAGCAACTTAGTTTCAATTGTAGAATATTGAGAAAGTAAACACTTGTCAAAATGTCTTGCGAAGGGCTGAATTTCAGAATACACGCCAGTTTAAATTCATTAGCATGGGGCACTGAGGCAAGGGAAAACATCTTTGCTCAAGCATCGCCACTCCAGAATTCCTGAAGGCCCCTGCGACACATAACTTCATGCATTTCCCCAATGACAGGAAACCCCAGTGAGGATTGCAGAATTCCACAAAGGAAGGAGTAAGCAAAAAGGAAATTAAAAATTGTGAGAAAGGGGACATTAAACAGACTTCGTTCATTTGTTTTAATTAGCATAGCTGAATTTTAATTATCGCGGTTCTTCACCAGACACTAGTAAATGTGCTGAAACCATCTTGTAAAATTAACAGAGCTCTAACACGACAGGCCCTTGTTTAATTCTGTTCTATTCTTCATTGGTTTAAAAGAAAGTAATTTCAGGAAGAAGGCGGGGGGATTTGGGTAGACAACTAGAGTAGAACGAAGTAATTCATCTGAGCACAATCTCCATGAAAGCAGAGACGCCTCTGTCCTGTTTATTAGATATTGCTTCTAGCATAGTTAATAACTGGTACCTGGAGGAACGTAATCATAAACAAATAGTACTTCCTCTTGTTTCCTCGAAAGGACTATAAAGCTCACAAAGGCAGAGATCATAGCTTTTACTTCTTCTTCATCCACTCTGTCAGCAGAAGGTTGGGTCATCAGGAGTCAGTCAGCAGGTATGCCTTAGCAAGCCTGCTTTCCAGGGAGGAACACTCTTCACCATCTCCCGCTGCAAAGGTCCTAACAGTCTAGACACCAGAGGTCAGATCAGTGCAATCCCAGAGGAAGCAGACCCTCCTGCTTCCACCCCCACTCCGAAAGGATAAACAAAATCAAATAAATACATTTAAAAATAGCACAGTTGTCCCTAGATTGTCAGAGAACGACTGGTTATTCTCTTTGTCAGTATATTCTTGAGACTAACGCGAGCTATAATTAGTCAGGCCAGGGCCTATATTCCTCACACCTCAGTGGGTGTTTCCATGTAGCTCATTCCTATCTTCAGGGTTCTTTCTGTCACCAGAGGCTATGGAAGTCTGGAAAACAAGAGAGCCCTGTGTTATGTGACTCCCCAAGGCTCCCTCTCAGCTCTCATAGATCAGTCTCTGGAAGATGCCAGCTGCCAGTGTCTTTGATTTTTGTCTTCACTAAATCGTTGATAGATCAATCAATTCAGACTATAGATTGGCTGACTTGGAGCAGAGTATCTCTGACAAGAAGAGAGCATCACACCTCATCCTCAGGAGCATTTCCTCAGCCCACTAATCCCTGACACTGTTGAAGACAGGAGCCTGAGAGCCTGAGGTTCCCCTTTGCTGTTGGCTTCCTTCCTCTCACTCAGAATCACAGTAACCCATGAGGTTCTACAACAAAACAGGTTCGTATTCCTGGAAATGGGAGGCCAATGTTTAGGAAAGCAACACATGTACATGCAGTTGAACAATATTACATTAGATAGAAAGCCACTCCACAGGAAAGACAGCTCCTTCACAGTCTCACTCCCAAGGAAGAGCGATGTCAATCATCTCACTGGGCTGACTCTCAAAGCCTTCCAGTTCAGCACCTCAGTCGTGTTGGAAGGGGTGTGTCTCACTGTCATCTATCAGGCTGGACTGAGTCACAGGACGGAAAGACCACAGTGTTATAAGGACACAGCTCAGCCCATAAATTGCATTGGGCAGTAATTGGAGAGTAAATCAATTGCCATTATTGAGCAAAGTCAGGGGCTATCTGTCCCATCCGCAACTGCCTGTCCCTCTGCTTAGACTTCACATGTTTGTTTAGAATGTTTCTAGATCACACACAAAGAATATGAAAAGAAATAAAAATGATTTGGAGCAAAGTGAGTTTTGTTTTGTTACCTTTCAATCTATGCCCTCATCTCCTGGGCTCGCCTTCTAACATGGAAGATTTGATTCTTCTACACCTACTTGCGTTTAGGCATCAGATTTATGCGTCAGGTGCTCTACAGACCTTCAACTTGCAAAATATAGTTGCCATCTGAAGCCAGGTTTGCTTTTACTGTACAAACAGGTTTCAGGGCCTCTCTATATCTAAGTGCTTACATTTCACAAGCAAAGTCAAACTTCCCATACGTGAGTGATTAGCCTTAATCCCTGCAAGAGTTAGACACAACAGTAGTTATAGATATACCTGTGTATAGATGCAGGCACATATTTGTGTGTGTGTGTGTGTGCGTGTGTGTGTGTATGTGTGTATATATATATATGTATGTGTATATACATATATATATGTATGTATATATACATATATATGTATGTATATATACATATATATACATATATATATATGCCTCTAAGAAAAGACAAAACTTTATTAGGTTACTAATACTGGAAACAGAAGAACAGAACAGATTGTTGATAGTGAGCATAGGACTCGTGTCTTGCTAGTCTGAAATTCTTCATTCTTTTCATGCAGAATGTGTTCTGTCTATGAATCCTCCTGCACATAAAGTTGATGCGTGCTGGAAGGTCTGGAGTGGGGTCCGCTCAGCATCCCTCACTCCTCCAGGGAATCACTATGGGACACAAAATAAGAGCACAGCACCAGGCTTTTTGGAATTCACTTTCAGAAGCTAAATCTACATTCTCCTTCCACCATATGCTCAGGTAGCTTTCAATGGCACCTCATGCAGCTGTGTCATTGAGTTCCCCCGTCTTAATGAATAAACTAATTACAGCCTGAGACGAAGTCTTGCTGACTAGCTATCTCCTGTTATAGATCAAGGAGCGAACTTTATTCCCACAGCTATCTGCTAATTTGCATTAGCCATAAAAGTGCACCCCACAGCCTTCTCTAGTCTAGCTGGGCAACAGGGTTGCACCCCCAGAACACTGTGCCGCCGCTGGTATTAATTCCTCACAGGTCAAGTGGCCCAGTAGGTATGCTGCTACCACAGAGATTGTCAGGTCTAAGTGCAACGAGGTAACTCTCGATTCTCTTGAGTCTGCTGGCCGGCTCACACATTATAAATCCCACTGCATTGAATTTGACAATTAAGTGATATTATTCCTTTGAGTCCTGAAGTTCTCTTTGTTTACAAAAGATTTCCAACAGTATCAAAATAAAGCTTTGCCCATTTGAAGCCTTTTTAAATAGTGTAAATTTATCAAGTACAAATATAGCTGGGTCACCTGGAAAAAAAAAACCCACAAAACCTGACAGACACCAGATGTAAAGCAGATTTCATGCTCTGCTCCCAGATTTCAAATGAGAAGTCTACAGTACATGTTAATTATAACACTGGTTTGGATTCCAACAACACAGTTCTCAGATGGAAGTAACCTTGTAGTGACTTCATTACCAGATAAACTCCATCTTGCCAGCACCAGGTCTCACAACTGTAGCACACAAAATACAGAGTCAAGGGCTTCTGCACTTCCTCCTTTCTCGGTGTGCTTGCAGTTTCCCCACTGGACTTGTAGAATTTCGAAGAGTGACAGCTCTGACAACCAATAGAGAAAGGTGAGGGCTGGACTATAGTCCACCTGTGGTTAGACCTGCATTACAGATGGACTTTTAGACTCTAGGATTCAGGTTTCCTTCTCTACAGAGTAGTGTGTAGTTGAGCTCCACGGAGAGCAGAAATATAAGATTAAATACCTATGATACCTAATGATAGGTGCCAAACCATGTTTTACTAATCTTTGACTGAATTAAATATACATGTTTTCTAGTTTACACATTCTCACGATCATAGATAGAAAATATGACCTCTTGAATAGAAGAATCATTTTGCAAATAGATATTTGGGTAGATAAAGAAAGGAATTGACCCAAGATGTACATCCAATGCTCATCAGCTGAGCCTAGATTTTAGGCATAGTTAGCATAAATGGGCTCTAACGTCTAAGATCGCCAGATGCCATCCAAGGCATGCATTTAAATTTGCGTTTCACATAAACAATAAAATGTAGTGTATTGCCAAGATATCACAGAAATGGGCAAGCATTGGAGATATATCATTGTGTGTGTGTCTCTGTGTGTGTGTGTGTTTCCCTGATCTGGCAACTCTACATACAATCAAATCTTAGCTCTGTCATTTTCTGGCTGGACAATCTCAGATGAGTGAGTTGAGATCTCTGTAGTTAGGCCCATCTT